GGGATTTGTATTCAGCGTTATGGGAACTTTTTGTCATTATGTGGGAAAAAGAACAAGTCCCTAATACTTTTAAGGTATCCCTCATACGACCCCTATATAAAGGCAAGGGTGACCGGTCAAACTGCAATTCTTACCGTGGCATTTCTCTACTTTCAGTGCCTGGAAAAGTCTTCGCCAGACTTCTTTTAAACCGCCTCAGGAAACTTTCTGAAAGGATTTTGCCGGAATCCCAGTTCGGCTTCCGACCTGACCGTGGTACCTGTGAGGCGATTTTCTCATTACGTCAACTACAGGAAAAAAGCAGAGAACAGGGTCGTAATATGTATCTCTGTTTTGTAGACCTTGAGAAGGCATTCGATAGTGTACCACGTGAAGCCCTCTGGATAGTGCTGCGGAAAATTGGATGCACGGAGAAGTTTGTGAGACTTCTGAGACTCCTGCATGATGGCATGCAGAGCTGCGTCGCTGTAAACGCTGATCAGTCAGAATTTTTTCCCGTTACCTGTGGAGTAAAACAAGGGTGTGTCCTTGCACCCACACTTTTCGCGTTATACTTTGCAGTTGTAGTCCAGGAAGTCTTAAAAACTACCCATGATGGAATTCGCATTCGTTTCCGCAACGATGGCAATCTTTTCAGCTTAGCTAGACTTAAGGCCCGTACGAAAGTGTCTTACGCACTTATTACAGAGATCGTCTACGCAGACGATTTATGTTTTGTGGCCGATTCCCCAGCTAGCCTGCAACAGCTTGTGACCACCTTTCATGAGTCGTGCCGTATTTTTGGTCTGAAGATAAGTGTTAAAAAGACGGAAGTGATGTCTTTAGATATCTACGGTCAAGAGACACTGGCCGTCAAACTCGGTGATGATATACTTAAGCAGATCAATACATTTCGTTATCTGGGGAGCACGATAACATCAAAGTGTGACCTTGATGCTGAAATCAACAGTCGAATCGGTGCCGCGGCTGCGGTATTCGGTAAACTGGATCGCAAGGTCTTTGGCTCACATGACCTAAAGCTGGCTACCAAAATTGGTATTTATAAGGCGGTAGTGCTGCCTAACATACTGTACTCTTCAGAGTCATGGACAGTTTACCGCCGTCATATACGGACGCTGGATCGCTTCCACTTGCAATGTCTGCGCAAAATTCTCAACATCCGTTGGTCTGATCGCATTCGGAATACGGAAGTGCTGCGTAGAGCCTATACCATGGGGATTGAAGCCTACCTTATGGGGCGACAACTCCGTTGGTGTGGACACTTATCGCGAATGTCAGATCAGCGTACGGCTAAGTGCATCTTTTTCTCTGAACTTGAGAAGGGCAAGCGTAAGCATGGCGGACAACTTCTCAGGTACAAAGATGTACTTAAGCGCCACATGACGAAGTGCGACATTGAGCCTTCAGAGTGGGAGCAAGCAGCCGCTCGACGACCGGAGTGGAAATCTTTGGTGAAAGCCAAGGTCAAAATGTTTGAGGAGAATCGATGCTCTGAATTGGACGCCCGACGTGATGAACTCAAAGCACGCCCACCTTGTGCGATTAACTATAATTTCTGTAATGGTGTGCTCACCTGCCCGCATTGCACGCGAACATTTGTAAATAAGATCGGCTACGTTAGCCATGCACGAGCACACCAACGACAAGATCGGAGCTGAAGAGGTCGCCGTGGCCGAAATCGGTCGAGGAGATTATTAGTTGTATCGAGAATTGCGACGAAAGCGGTTGTTCTTTTTTTATGAATTTTTAGCATAAAATGGTCCAAACAACGCAATCCTCTGGTAGGAAAATGGTGGCCTGGAAGTATTTCATTTGTAGCCAAAGCGGTAAAGATTTCTGTTATTTCTTTCATAGCTTTGCTCACACATAATAGGTAATAAATTTATATTAATGTCACCCGCTATAATAATATGACTAGTTTTAACTGAATTTAGATGTAAATCAATAGAGTGAATAAATTCGTCAGCTTTTGTGATGGAAGGAGAACGATATATACCTAAAATTGTGTATTGATTTATAGTTATTTGTAAACATGAAGCTTTGTATAAATTTATTTCCTTGACAAGTGCTCTGTAAACATTCTTTATGTAAACTACCACACCATCGTTTTGATTTATCTGAGTATTTGTCGAATAGGAACAGTAGTTATGTAAAGTGGGAATTGGTTTATTTTTATCTAACCAGCACTCCGTCAAAATTATTATATCAATGCAAGGTTTAAGTTGCGCTAAGTGTATTAATAGACTGTCAAAATTACTATATATACTTGTTATATTTTGAGCTATAATATTCAGATTTCCATATTTAAAAACAGCGTTTGAAGACAAATCATCTATTGAACATTTTATAGACTGTGAAATTTCTGTGTCGTCTATCTAATTCCTGTAGTGTATTCAGAGAACTAGTCATGGACGAAGAGAACTGCTGGGTCATTAGCATAGAATTTGTATTAGATTGTGTAATGTAAATGTAATGTGAATATGTGTGTGTAGAGTAAATATGTGATTTAATTATTAAACGTATAATTTTATTAAACAGTTTGAGTTTTGTTTGTGTATGAATGTTTTGTATCTGTTTTTTGTATTTAATGTAGGTTTGTAAGCAATATAAATTAATTTTGAAGTAACAATATAATAAACCATTTAAACAAAAAATTAAAGGAAAAAGCAGAAAACATGCAGATAGAAAAGATAGTAATAGTCATACCTCATTATGCAAAGTTAGCTGGTGCAATTGTGCTTAGTTTGTTACATGAATGATGGGTGAATTTTCACTTTTTCTCAAGTACACCTTGCCGTAAGATGTCCAACAAAACTGAAACCTTTTAGTTTTCACTAGATCTCTTGCCAAAAAGAATAGTCTAGAGCTCTTAGGTGTTAATTGCTCCGATACGAAAATCGGGATGTCTTCCTCACGAGTGAAACCTAAGTGTTTTGCTTGGAGTTTTGAAGATTTATTCTTATTGTTGTAAATTTTACACGATCTAAGCAAGGCTGTCTTTTGAATTGTGGAGTTAAGTTCCACGAGTATAGGTGTTTTCTTTTCTCCCTCTTTTTTACCCTGATTCTGAAAACATCTTTAACATCTGACTTTAGTATGTCGTAATTCACTGATTTCGATAAACAGACAACCATCTCTATAAGGTCCTCTTTGGTTTCATTCTTCGTTTTAGGAACATTCTTTAATTCAATGCCTGTTTTCCGATTTATTCTTAGTTGATCCTCTAGTTTTTCTTCCAAAATTGTGATGGTTTCTCGTTCTTGTTTACTTTTTATCTCTAACTTATTAAGGTTTCTACGTAATTCCTCGTTTTGTGTTGTTAAGAGGGCAATATTATTTTCAATGTTGGAGTTGCTTTGTTGAATTTCTTTAAGGTTAACTTTAATATCCTCAAGTTCCTTTTTCTGTGACTTAATTAAAGAGGTTAACATTTTTGGAATTTCATCTTTAAGTTTAGTGTCCAACAAGTTACTGACTTCCTCGTATGTCAGTTGTTTCGGAGTACGGTTTGGACTCTTTTCTATATCTAATTGAGGTCCCGGACTCTTTGACATTTTCGAAGGTTGTGCTTTTGATATTGGAGTATTATCGTTTCGGTATCTTCTTGTTATTTGTGTACAGCTACCACACATAAAAATATTTTTTCAGGGAGTCTCTATGTTTTCGAAAGTCAGCTGAGGTGTAATTGGCACACTTATAGTGTAGGTGCAATTTACAGGCCGTACAAGTTAGAAGTTCAATTTGTGTCACAGGTTTTAAGCACGAAACACACTGCATAGTAGTAAAAATTCAAATTGTTTCGGCCGCTTATATGCTAGCAAAAAACTCCAAATTAAGGTCGCCTCCAGTCCAGGTTAAGGACGCCTCTATTCTAATATATTTACTAGATAATATTATTAGGATAATAAAAGCTAAAGAGATTACCGCAGAGTCGCAGAGCCGATGTCTTGCGCTATAAGATCGTTGTTGCGTGCGTTTTATGTACTAGGGCGGCAAGAGGCGCAAGAGTTTCGTTGACTCGATGTGTTAAGTAGTGCACACACAAAGATGTTACGCTCACGTAGAGATGCGTTGAGTTGACGTGTTACGTAGCGCGCACTGTACTATTAGTTATATTTCATATTAATTAGATTAAAAATAAATAAACCAAACCACAGATATTCCCAAAAGTAGAAAAATTTGATATAGTTAAAAATGTGCAAAACATTAAATAGCAAACCACTGAGGCGTTGTTTTGTGTATTAATTTAATACTCTAGAAATTGATAAACTTTCATTTAAAACTAACTTCTCAATTAATTGACATTGTGTAACAAAAAACTTTACCTCCGTGTCAACTAGCGACATCTGGTGAGCGGAAAATTTATTAGCCCTCATTACTTTGTTCGTGTAGTAACTAACAACAGAACATGTCTCTTTATTTCGTATGTGCGTCCAGTATTGCACTTTTATTTATTATCATTATGTATACATTATCTGTAAGACAATGGAAGGTCCATATGTGAACATATTATGTCTCCCCATTAGATTGCCCCATAGTGGGGTTATTTGCCATAGTTGCCACGTTTGGCAGGCAGCTACAGTTTATTTATGGATTTTGTTATCAGGGAAATGCTGCTGCCAATTTCCTGTTTCGTTTCCCTTTCTCGCCTCTTACAACATCTGCCGGATGACGTGAACTCTCTACCTCCACCACTAAATGGCTAGTTTTTGCAGTTTTATAGGCTGTTAAAGAAAGAAATAAGAAAAATGTGTGCATGTGTCATGAAATTGGACATCGTTTCAATGTCACATGTAATTTAAAAAAAAATATATTTACATTGTTTTCTATCATCTTTGTATGTTGGTCTGCAGCACCATCCCCAACAAATTATCCTAAACTACCCTCAACTAATCAACAACACCCTCCACTAAGTCCACTTTCACTCTTTTCTCCTTATCATGTCTTTTTGAATGTTGCATCAGCTTGCTCCTTGTAAGGAAACGTTTACTGCAGACAGTTCACTGATGAGGTTTGTCCCCAATATGCATTTTGAAGTGCATAGTTAGATTGTTCTTTTTGGTGAAACTCTTTGAGCATATCTCGCACTGGTGGGGCTTGATACCCTTGTGTATCTTTTCGGGACGGTCCAAGTTCGCCTTCCGGTTGAATGCTGCATCACAATCACCGCAGATGTAGTTCTTGATGCCTTGATGTGATAATATGTGGATACTGAGGTGTCCGAGCTGAGTGTAAGTTTTGCCACATGTAGTGCACATGTAGGGTCTCTCGCCACTGTGAGTGCGCTGGTACTTTTTAAGCTCGTAGCCGGTTTGAAAGTTTTTCCCACATTCAAAAGTCACATGGAAGGGGGGTCCTTTTGTATCGCGGGCCGTTTTCATTTCCTCCTAGAAAAAAAAAACTTTTTTTTACTATTTTAAGCTAGTGCTTGTCTGTCCCACCTGATGGTAAGTAGTGATGCATCTGAAGCTGGTGAACCGCACTGACTTAACAAAAGCCTATTCATTCTTGCTTTAAAGACACCCTGGTTTCCGTACAGGCTTTAGCACCATACACGACATACATACCCTTCGGCAAATTGTACAGAAGCCTCGTATCGGCGGACGAAGTGTAAGGCGTTCCCCCACTAGATGTAGTGACGACCTGGTAAGACATGCAGGAAGTCGATGGATGCAGGTGGCTCGGGACCGTGCTTTGTGGCATTTTTTGGGGGAGGCCTATGTTCAGCAGTAGACTTATGAAGGGCTGTAATGATGATGATGATGATGATTAAAAACACCCACATTGTAATTGGATGGAAAGACAAACGCTGGCAACTTATTCTACTTTTTTGCTGTATGTATGATGAATGATGAAGCAAACAGTATGGTTCGAATGCATGGTAAGTAGACAATGAAAGAGTGGAGATTGGATTAAAATCCTGTAGAAAACTAAAAGGCTGGCTACTTTGCACCTGTGTTTAAGTCTGGTGAGATTGGTAAATATACTATTCTTAAATCGCTTAGATGTGTGGTGGTCGCGTAAGACAATCTCTGGAGAATTTTCTTCTGGAATATTTTCTTTATAAAATTAAAGTGACAAACCAGCTTACAGTTAACGGTCAGTACTTTGCCCTTGGACACTTGCAGCCAACGTCAAACAAAGAAGACTAAGGATGCTTTGTCACCCCTGAGGACTAAGATGGAATGCCTCACAGCTTGTAATTATGCTCTTTCTCTCTCTCTCTCTCTCTCTCTTTCTCTCTCTCTATACCCTTTAGATCACACAGCAATGCACACACTACTGCTTGCAAGCAGAAATAGTTAAGGAGCTACCTACACAGATGGCCGCCTAGGCTTGAGTCGTACTACTAGATTTGTTTTTTTTTATAGAATAAATGTGACAAACGAGCATACAGTTCACCTGATGGTAAGTGGTTGCTGTGGCCCATAGACATCTACATCTATCCTCGTTTGCGAATCAAAATACAGATACATTGTCACCCCTGAGGACTAAGACGGAATGCTTCGTTTCCAGTAAAAAGGCTCACCGGTTCTCTACACTCACCATACGAAACACAGCAGTGTTAAGCTGCTATTTTATTCTGGTATTCTGTGAGAGCGTGGTCCTTCCCTGGTCGAGCCGATCCATTCGTGCTACAACTATAATATGTAGTGCCCTGTAGACTCCCCTTTACCTCCGACAATATACATTTATAAAATTAGTATTAAGTATAGATAGAGAACAGTATAATTAAAGTTCTTGTACAAGCAACACGTCTCCTTCATTCAGCACCTTCCGAGTTCCGACATTACATGGCGACCCTGCCAGGCGGTGCGCTGCGACAATGCACGCGCACCGCCGCGGCCTATTACTTAAAAGAAAAAAAAATATTATAAGAAATCTAAATTAAATTATGAAAAGATATTAACGGCAATACCGGACGTGACGAAAAATAATAAGAATATAAGAAAAGGACTGATATTACTATTTTTTTTAAAGAAAATTACAGAAAGTATTTAATAAACTAATGAAGATCAACTTAAAAAGATAAACTTTATGAAAATTTCAAAGGTAATATGAAGAATAAAATACTTAATATTGATAATTATGAGAAGTATAATGAAGAAAGGAACAGCAGTTGTACCCTAGGAAGCTTAGCCCAGAAGAATGTGAAATTTGAGTCAGAAAGTACAAAGAAGATATTAAGAGGTAACTTCCCACCTTTGTGATTTTATCTCCATCTAAAACTTTATTTATCAATTTGTGATGGTTTTATGTTCTTTTTGCTATTATATTTTATGAATTTAAGTATTAAATATTCTATATTTAATACACCTATGTTTAAATTGAAAGTAATTATCAGATAATTTACGATTCAATTGATTTTTTAATATTTTATTACTGTATCTGAAAAAATAATTAAAAAGCAATAATTATAAATTAAGTTATGTATGCACTTCTGTGGCATGTTTTATTAAGGTACAAGACGATTTTATATTCACTTTTTTCAGTTATTGTCTTATATTATTTTATAACTGTGTCGTGCAAAAATTAATGAAATAATGTGATTTATTACATTTTTATGTCCTTAAATTTACTATAGTTCATCATAAATTAATTTTTTCATATTTTATAGTAAAATAACACTTTTTCTTTTAACGACCCCAAACTAATCTAGATAAGTTAAATTCAATTTCAATTCAAAATTCAAATGTAACAATCTTTACACAGTGAATATAATAAGTATGCTAAACTTTTCTTATGAATGATATATCTATAAATATGACATGTTATGCAATGAGCTTATCTTAAAACAATAGAGAGCAACATGCGATATATGAACAGGTACATAAAAATAAATCATAACAACATTCTAATAAAGACGAAAATAATAATATCAATAAATAAATAAGAAATGACCTGTAAACACGTGGATAATAATAAATATAAATAATAATAACGTGTAACATAAATATGAAAATAATGAAATACTGTAAAATAAAATTAAAATAATTAAGAGGTTTAATAATAATGTTCCCTAACAGTTAAAAACGGCAAAAAAAAAAAATAGACTGACAAAAATGTTATCCAATTTGTACAAAATTAGAATGTATGTAATTAAAAGATATGAGGAATGGAAGAAAAGAATGTTCGAAAGTGTGAATACGAATGATCGAGTTGCTAAGTTTCCTCAATATTGGACTGATCACCCAAATATTGATGAATGCTTAAACTCTTGGTATGGAACTCATTATGAGCGAGAATAATGCAAATTAGTATATGGAAGTGGAGCATGCAAGTGAATAAAAATACCCGATACACCCAAACAGATATTAAGATGTAAAAAAAAAAAAAACACGGGTCATGTATAAATAAAGAAGCAAAATGGTTTATTAAGAGAATAGAAATAAAACATATTATAATGACCTTGATAAATAAATCATAGAGAGATACGGGAACGTCCATCACTGGTAAAGCATATAGTCCTCGAGCAGGGTATGTTTCCATGATTGGATGATAAAATCGGAAGTAACGGGTACTAGGGAACAATACCTTCAGTACAAATGAGATGTGAACGAGTTTACTCATATTAGTACTGTTGGGGACCAGAGAAGTCTTAAATTTGTTACCCTTAATAATGGTACATAGGGGTCACATCCTACATTGGATCATAGTGTGAACTTAGTTTTCCTCCGTGACAATTGTTGGAGTCCTTTTAAAATGACTTAAAAGTTGACCTCAAGGTTGTGCGCACAACCCAAGGTACAGCTACCTTGACGATATAGTATGATACAAAAAAAGTTTATGTACCAATAAAATGAAATGAATGTTATGAAAATGTAAAATAATACCCAAGTAAATGGGGGGCCCATATTTATAAAGTACCCGCGTGATAAATATCACGAAATAAAATATAAATGAAGTGAATTAATACTCCGATTCCCGATATCTAATAAATAAATAAATATATAAGTGAATAGAATTACGAAAACAATTAAGCTAGCTAAAAGGTCAAAAGGAATAAATTATTATGAAAGGAAAGAAAGTATGTACATACGAGAATTATAAAAGAAAATATAAATACATATATGTATAACTTAAGGCCTAATAATTTAAACAAAGTAAATAGGAGTAGTCGTACTGGTATGAAATTAAGTACAATGAAATGAGAAAATTTTAAATCATAAAAGGACATGACAAAAAATAAAATGTGTTACATACAAGGTATTAAGGGGATCCCCGACCAAATCTATAAAGTGAGATAGGTAGTTATTTGCATTTCTTTACTAGGATGCTACCCAAAATGCTACCTACTAGTTGCACATGTAGTACCTATGGGATCGATCCACATAACTGCATGTATAATTAAATAAATACCTAATATAATACACGTGTTATAATCATATAGCAAATAATATACTTTATCCATAATCGCAATAATTTAGAGTATAGGGCTTAAAATAAAATAAAATCATAATATAAATTATTATTGCAATAGGTACATATTATACACGTAATAATAATAATTACGTTATAAAAATAATGAATAGTTATAAAAGATTGTTTCGTATTATATAGAATCAATTAATCAAAGTTCAAAATTCAACATAATAAAAAAAAATAGGAAGGAGATGTTGAAATAAATTAGAGATACGAACGTAATCAGAGTAAAGTATAAATATTATATTTATACAATAAAGTACAGTGCATGGCGCACATTTCAGCCAACTAACAATTATTTAATACTCACAAATTAAACATGTTGTAATTATAGACACACTACCGCATGTACACAAAAACATCAATAATTAAATATGAAAAAAAAAACATTTTCGCGCATATATTTCGCGTATATTTTATATGAATTTACAAGATTTTTTTTCCTTAAAATAATAATTTAACCTTGAATTTTATATTTTATATTATGTTTTTTTTGTTTATGTAAAAGTTGAACAATTTTCAATTAAATTTGGTTAATATATTGTTTTTAAAATCAAGTCGAAACAGTATCGATCCGCTATTACTTATATAAGTTTCATAATGTAATATTTTTTTTTCTTTTATAGACAATAAAACCAAATATTATGTTATTATATACCAAAAATACTATACAAACATATATTTTGCTATATAAACTTATATTTGTGTAATAACCTATGTTTTCATAAATCTATATTTCAAATGAGATAAACACATTTCTTAGGAGTCATGTAATCTTAAAAAGGTATTAATGCGTTTACGACTTTTAATGATAAATAACATTTATAATAATGAATACTTGGTAATGTATGTAAATTTATTATGACACAATGCAATGTAAAATATTTAATACGTAAATTAAAAGATGTTTAATGCCAGAATTTTCAGATACATTTTAAGTGTATTCATAATAAAACAT